CTCAGCATAACATCAATAACCAAAAATTGCTGTATAATGTATCTTGCAGATAGAGTTCTATCAATGGTACAGACAAACAGACAAAATTCGAACTGGTTAATGTATCAAAAAGTCACTGCTCTAAATAAGTGTATGTTTTATTATCATAAGGGGAAATTTTGCAAAAAATTCAACAAAAAAAAACTGTGAATTATTATAGAGTTGAAAGATAGTGTAATTAGATTAATTTATTTATGACCTATAATAATCTTAGCAGAAGATAAAATTGTCACTTTCTTTTTATTGCTAAGGATTAGCGCAGTCGGGAGCCAGTTGAATTGGTGCCTGCTAGGCGATTAAGTGCTGTGGGTTAGAATCCCGCTCTGTATTCTGATTCCACGGTCAGTGTTTGCTAGAGACAGCCCGCTGTTTGCTTTTATTCCCTCAGTCTAACTAACACCAATAACCAAAACTGTTGTGTGTATCTTGCAGATAGAGTTCTATTAATGGTACAGAAAAAATTCGAACAGGTTAATGTATCAAAAATTCACTACTCTATATGAGTGTATGTTAAATTATTGTAAGTGAAAATTGAAAAAAAAAATTGAAAAAAAAAAGTTATTTTTTTAAGTGTTAAAAGATTACATAATCAGATTAATCTGTTTATGACCCAAACTACTTCACACCTGCATGTCAAAAGTTCATATGGATAGCTTTCCTATCATATTATATAACCTGTTATAACACCTGTCAATCATTTTAATCCCCACAATCTACAGATTTTTATCACTTTTATGCCTATTTTCGCAAATTCAATTTTGTATTAAACCACCCATGTCACATATCATTGAAAAGAGAAAATTGAGTAGATCCTGAATATACAAACCATATTGCTAGGAGTTAATTACATTGTTAGAACCCTCAGTCGAAAAAAACTCAATATTTTTAAAACATATTTTAATGGATTATTGTCATATATCATTGAAAAGATAATCAAAAGGGAATTACAAAATTGAAAAAAATAATTCTCTGTGTTTATTAGAAAAGGTCATACAGCCGTCCAAAGTTGTCAAAGATGTTAATTTTTGAATGGCTATTAAACCGGAAGTTAATATTTTTCAACAAATATGAGTACACCTGTGGATAGCTGAGGTCAAGAACATCCTACAGTGAAATTTTCAAGGTCATCGAAGGTCAAGGTCACATGGTGTAGCCTTTCGAATTTTCAAAAAATTCAAACGAATATAAAAAAAATTCAAATTCGAAATTGAAAATTCTGTTCCAACAAACTGTAGACAAGGTTACAAGGTTTTAATAGACATCAAAATCATAAAAATCGGATAAAAAATGGAGGACTAATTAATTTTTTGCTAAAATGGGTCAGTCCGAGGCGAGGGCTTATGCATCCGGTTTTGATTTTTTCTGCTAAGTGCATTCTATTATGACTGGCAGACAATATATATGGTTTTTGCCAACATCTGAAATTTACACCAGGCGTGATTTAAAAAAACCGGAAGTTCTCACGCAAAAACCGGAAGTGATAGAATAATTTTGATTGTATACATTTATTTGTATGGACATTCTGTATATGTCCTGTGTATTTCAGATGAATCGGATAATTAGCGGCTGAGTCAGAAATTTTGAGCTTTTTTGAAAATTTTGGAAAAAAAATGAAATAAAATAAACATAACGAAAACAAAGCGTGACAAATCGTTAGATTTGCCACGCAATAAAACGAAAGTAACTACTCTGCAGTTTGGGCTGAAAAGAATGTTTTCAACGACTTAAAACTAAAAGCAAAATAAAAGCTTTTTGATATCAATGATCAATGACCATTATATGCCATACACTTGCTTCGATGCTAACTTCTTTTGCCACATGATTTCGGTTTTGGGTGAGCGAAGGATATTGAACTAGGACATGCGTTAACACCCACCAAATCGCGTTAGGAGAAAAAGATATTTGCATCACAAGCCGACAAAATGTTTGACCATGGTGCAACGGATATATACGTGATGAAAAGACTCGAGGTAATCTTATTATGGACGCGAATATCGGTAGGCCTATAGATATTTGCTGAAAGTAAAGAAGATATTTTAATGCATTCAAATCATTTTTGGCAGAAAAATATCTTTCGTATGCTAGTCCGTCTATAGAAATACGTAGCCTAGAAAAGTATATTTGAATACAACTAAACGACCTTAAAAACTACATTATTATTGTTCAAACAAACTTTTCTACAATGTCCTACTGTTTTCGAAGTCGTTTTTATTGTCGTTGCCCCTGTCCGTCGATCCGTCCGTCGGTCCGTCCGTCAACATTTCTTGTGAGCACTATTGAGACTACAGTTTTCATATGATTTTGATAAAACTTGGTATGATGCTTTAGATTGATAAGATCTCGGTCAAGTTTGAATTTGACATATTTTCGATGAACGGTTTATGAGATATTGCCCTTGACTTTGTTAAAACGCGTCGAAATTTGTGAAAAATAGTTTGTGAGCAGGATTGAAGCTACAGTTTTCAACCAATTCTGATGGAACTTGGTGTGATCATTGGAATTGGTAAGATCTCGGACAAGTTCTAACTTGACGCATTTTCGATGAACGGTTTTTGAGTTACTGTCCTTGACATTGTAAAAACGCGTCAAAATGTGTTAATGAGCACTATAGAAGCTACAGTTTTCAACCAATTTTGACCAAACTTGAATGATCATTGGAATTGATAAGATCGGACAAGTTCTAACTTGAGGCAATTTTGATCGACGGTTTTGGAGTTATTGCCTTTGACTTTGTAAAAACGCTTCAAAATTTGTGAGCACAATAGAAGCTACAGTTTACAACCGATTTTGAGGAAATTTGGCGTGATCATTGGAATTGATAAGATCTCGGACAAGTTCTAACTTGGCGCATTTTTGATGGACGGGTTTTGAGTTATTGCCCTTGACTTATGAAAAACGCGTCAAAATTTGTTTGTGAGCACAATAGAAGCTACAGTTTTCTACCGATTTTGATGAAACTTGGTGTGATCATTGGAATTGATAAGATCTCGGACAAGTTCTAACTTGAGACATTTTTGATGAACGTTTTTTTGAGTTATAGCACTTGACTTTGTAAACACACATCAAAAGTTGTTTTTTGCCCTTGATTAGAGCTGTGTGATTTATTTGTTTGTTGTATTTGGGTTATTGATATTGATTTAAAAAAAAATTGTGGAATTACTCAGCATAAATAACTGGCATGTATATATGTAATTGAATTCAAACTAATAAAATTTCTTCAATATGAGAACATTCGTACTTTAATCACTAAAAACTGTTTTATCATTTCTGACAGCTGTCAGTGGGCGTATGTTACCTTGCCTCGCAAGCTATCTTTCCTTTTGCTATCTGTGTTTTTTTTTTATATAGAAGTCATGAAGCTATCATTTCAATTCATTATTCAAAATACTTGATGAGAATAGAATTTGGGTGCGTGCCTTGCATGACCAAGAAAGCACAAAACTATGAGACTTAACACTTTTTTTTAAACAAGCCTTTTAACAAAAATGTAATTATTAAGGACATACGTGTTTTGGTTTATTGACAATAGTAACCATGTAGCCGCTTAGTAGACCCAGATGGACAAGCTGTGCATGTGGTTCCTGTCCAATATTGGTTCGAACCGCAACAGTGTTGAGAAGCACGTCGAGGTTTCTCTGCTGCTTTACTCTTCAAGATACTTCGTATAGTTGGAATTTCTCTTTTAGTAGCCGAAGGGGCAAGGTTTACCACGCACATGGTGACACCAGCCTGAAGTTTAAAGTTCGTTGTCGGCTTTGGAGCGACTTGACCCGTTGGTAAGGACGTAGCAGATACCTTCCATTCATTATAAATTGACGGCTGGACTTTACGATCTATGTAGCCATTAGATGTGATACATAGTTTGACCAAGTCATCATCGTTGCACAAAGCATAAGGATTGTTGATCTGTTCATGGTAACAGTTGAAACTATTCTCCGTGTATCGAGCTGTGTACCCAGTGACCGGAAGAAGATACTTAGTTCCGCCGTATCGAAGGTAGTTGGCCACACTGGGTTCGACTTGAAGCTCAACAGTATGTTGTTGTGAGCCGGACATTGGTATAAGGAACAGCTCAAAGCGTTTGATGTACATGGCTTTTTCTCTGTCCTGTGGACCAACCCAACCATTGTCTTTTAACCATTGGAAGCTAGGTATCTTAAATTTGACTGCTTCTTGGGCGTAAAGTGCATCCAGGTTTATATAAGCTTTGTCATTAGAATCTTTGGGTTTCGTTGGGATTTCTCTGTAATCTGTTATTTCATTGTTGATATGACACAGATCAGCAGGCATATAACTGATAACTTGAGCTACGGCGTTATGTGACGGGGTGTCCATAGCTGTTACACATTTGTCAGGAACTTCACCGCCCCTGGTGTAAGTTAATATATCGCAGTATTCAGTAACAACTTCCCATATATTCAATGTTGATACCATAAAGGTATTGACAGCAGTATGTTGTAAGAAAGCTTTGTCGACGCGAGCTCCAGACGTATAAATAAGCTTAAGATCGTTGGCTTTCTGGTAGGCGAGGTAGGCTCGAGCAGTGTCAGACAAAGAGTCCATAAGGTCAAATTGATAATCATAAAACTCTTCGTATAATGTTACTAATTCGGCGATGAGCACTCCAATCTTAACACAGTCACCAGTACTAGCTAGTCCTATTTCTCCCAAAGCGGCTGCGGCAGTTCCCGACGAAAATGCTGCTTCACATAGTTGATCGGAGACAACTTCCCACTGTGTACCATACGACGTTATGTCTGATAACAGAACCTTAGGGTCGTAAGCATTATATTTTCCCAGAAAATCATTTGCAGTTCCTACAGCATCCGTTCCTTCTTTCAGTTTGTCAATCAAGTCTTTGGCTTCAAATAACTGTTCTTCGTTCTCTGCGAACCCATTTCCAAGATTTTGAGCTTTTTCAATTAACTCTGGGAAAGCTTCGTCATGCAGTTGGGCAATAATTGCCGTCGTCACTCCTGCCTGGGCCAATTCATTGATTGCGCCCATGAGATCCAAGACGCTGGAGCCGCCCAGTATCTGGTTTCCAGGGTGAGCAACTTGTGCCACGGCTACACCGACCTCGGCGGTTCTGGAAACCAGCTCAGCGACATTAATTCCCACCGAAAAGTAAAAGACAGTTTGAAACATCTTTTCAACTTCAACAGACAGGGATGTGATTTTCTCTTTGAATACTGTTAGTCGGCCATCAATGTAGGCAATGTCCGCTTCAGCCTTCGTTTTATCGTAGTCCGCTAGAGATGAAAAATAGTTTGACAGTTCACCAAAGTTTTCCTCAAGTTGACTGGAAATGTCATTGAAGAGGGCTTCGGTCATTAGATTGATATAATTTGAGATTCTGTCAAGCTGAAGCTGGCCCAGTAGTGCTGGGTAATCCACAGTAGGGTTAAGATTCTTTGTTGTAGACTGTTCACCATTTTCAAAGGCATTGATGAAAAGGAAAACGCTATTTAACAGAGGATCCAAGTTGCAGAATATGGTATACTCTGTAGGCACTGTTACTTGCTGACATGCGGCATTCTTTGCCCATTGGGGAACAAACGTCATTGGCGGTAAATTGGTGGCAAAAGTCTTCAGTCCCTTAGTGTCGTAGCTGGTTACATAGTCATTAACAGTGCTTTGTGTGGACATTATGACATCGTTGATGTCGTTGTAGCCTAAACTAGTGTAGCGAGCCATTGGTAAATATGATAGCCATATCATTAAATCATATTTAGCCTTTTTAACCGAGGAAAGACCCCAATTGCCACTTGCCGCAGCGTCTACCAGCTGCTTTGTCTGTTTCAAAACGAACTTTACCATACAGTCAAATCTGTACATCATGTTGATTCTACAGGTGTATCCACCATTACAGTCAAATTTCCAGTTATCAAGGATGGAATTACAGCCCATGTTGTTTGTACAGTCGAACGCGTTGGGCCACTCCAAGACACACATAGAGTCGTCTACGGTAATGTAAGGATTGTATTTGTCGTAAAGTGAGTTAAGACCATTGCGATCGTTAGCTACGACTTTATCCTTGAACTCCGTCAAAACAGCTTGAGTTTTACCAAGAACGGAATTAATAAGGTTCAGTTCGTCATATTCGCCAAACCGTCCTCTTACGAAATAATCTTGTATTTCCTTGTCGTAAACGCAAGGAGTGACGTCCGCCAAATCTCCACAATTTCGGATCTTAACAGTATAGTCTTTGGCCAAGCAGAAATATTTGTCGCCTACAGGTTTTCCTGAATGTTCGTTACACTTTCTCTTGACATGATCTTCAACCGCCTCGAAACCGACGTATATCCAGTCGCGTATCCACTTGTCGAAGGATTCTTTTCCATTCATCAGCTGGCTTAGGGATTCCCACATGAGTCGTGAATGGTAGAAGACGTTGTTTTGGTCGGATTCGGGGATGAACTCCAGGACATCATTATTAAAGTAATATTGAATTACATAAGATCTTTGGTTTCGATCGATGCCAAGTCTGGACATTTTATTGACTGTAGATATTGGCACTATCTTTTCTACCATGACGTAAGAACCATCTTGGTACTCCCAGTACGATTCCACCACCGTTTGTTTCTGTGAATCAAGACCGTACTGCATATAGCAGAAGAAATTAGTATCGAAGCAAGTATATGGCCATTTGTCCTTAACGCTGTCCCAATACCAACAAGCATTTTGAAATGTTTTGGCGAGGGCACTGAAATCCACTATGCCCATTGGTCTAGATCCACCTTGACTGACGACTTGGTAATGAGCATAGAGTTCAAACATGTCGGACACGAGTATCCGGTTGAGGTAGGACCACAGGTTGACCAATTCTTTCCGAGCGTCGTGTTCTCTGGATAACCAGGTAGTGTAATTAAGAGTGTTTTTGATAAGCAGGGCGTCGACGTCATCACCTGAAATAGACAGATCCAAGAAACCAGTCTCAAGATTCGGGTCCGCTATGTAAAAAGCCATCATAAGTTCATCATCGGGAACGGGTGTACCAGTTGGAAATGGTGCCAAACACTTGTCTTTGTCTTTGGATTGTGCTGATACCGATACCAGAAGTACAGCAATGTAGAAGAGCTGAGCTATGACCATGATGCCAAGTAATAGTTACCCTTCTATCTTTGTATCTCTAATATCGTCTGAAAATATAATACCATAAATTAGTAATATTCTCCAAGGAATAATCGGGAGCCGCTTGCTCGCTAACCTGAAGTTCCAGGGTTCAATCCCGAGATAATACCTTCGGATTTTTCAACTCGGTTTCCCCTTGTCAGTGATGCAGGTAAGAGGGGCTGACATGGAAAAGGCGCCTAGTCGTTCGGATGGGACAATGAACCGAGGCCCCGTGTGCTACAGGCTGTGCACGTCAAAGATCCCTCGACAGTTGGATATCGAAAGAGAGCAGGCTAATGCCACTGTCCTGGCAAAATTTCCCTCATTGTACCCTACATGGCGTTGCCCGTCTCCATTAGCCCACATGGTGCAGAAAAGTAGGACGTAAAACTCCATTCATTTCATTTTCACGTTAATGACAACAAAAACGCTTTCTCTTTGACTGAAAATTTCGAATGGTGCAAATTGATGATATCAGTGACCCTGATACAGATAAAAAGTTTAGAAAACATCTTTACAATTCCTTCAAAGATACATACTAAGAGTTAAAACTGGTGAAAAAGGTTTGAACTGACCCCACCAAATTCTCTTAGTTAGAAACATGCATTATGTGAATCATCCACTGTTGGACCTAAACAGTACTCATCGTTACCAGGCTATAAAAAGAGTTCAAAAATCACTTACCAACAATGAAGTATCGTTGCTCTGTCCGAGATCGACTGCTTCCATAGGCTTCATTTTCAATAAATTTATACTTCATCGGCAAATTAATAGCCATTTGTGTAATGGATGTAATTCCAATGGATGACGATTAAACTTTCGGTTAATGTACAAATTTGTCTATAATAACAATTTTGGTTTGGATTAATCATCCGTAATGGCCTTGATTGCGATAATCAAACATTCGACATGTCAAAATTAGTCTCAAAATCAGGACAAGGCTGACGGCTTTAACGAATAGAGTTGCCTATTGAATCGCTTCAACGTCCAGGGAGCATCTCTTCCAAGGTGGGTGCATACAAACCATTATTAGGAACTATGATGATGATGATGACAGTGGTGGGTGAGATTGTGGTAAGATATGTTTAAAATAGAATGCCAACAGTCCTTTTACTTTTGGGTAAGAGTCAGTGATGCCGATGTTTGTGGTCGTAATGTAGATTGTTAGGATAGATGATGATGCTGGTGAAAAAAGGATTCGGGGAAGGGAATTGTTTAATAATATTTAAGAGACACGTTCGCCATCCGTTTGACCAATCATACCTTAGTCTTTAAAAGCGACATGTTTTTAGCTAAGCTAATCAGTAATAGTGTTCACAGTGTTCTAATCAAAATGAGAGCCTTCAAATTCATGTGTGTCCAGAAATATCCGCATTTGAAAGTTAAATTGACGACTCGTCTTTTCTTGAAACTCTTGAAAGTGAAATTTCTAGTTTGAGGTAATTTATCTGACTTTTAAACCGAAGAGGACTGATTGCATGGTTGAATAACAATAAATAAAAAAAGAAACAGGGGGCGCAACTCGTGCCTTCAAAACTTGGTCAGTTCATCAACCAGTGAGCTACACGTACTCTTTGTAAATACTTGGCACTCTACAATTACGGAATCGGAGACACTAAGTTATCTTTCTTTCATAACGAATGGCTCTTGGGAGTACGACATTCAGCCACTGTTGATGTCGTTTTTAACTGACGTTACCCTAGTTTCCAAGACCGAGCTTTACAAATTTTGTTTTAGTAGTCACATGTGGCAGAACCTGGTTAGTCAAAACCGAAAAAATCGTCCGAAAAGTGACGTAATAGGTTTTGCCATTTGGAGGATGGAAGTGATGATGTAGACAACTGGCTAACTAGGTTCTATTTTACCTAATCTAATATACAATACTAAATGTAAATCAAAATGCATCTCTAAAACACAACTTGCACCTGGTAGTGTCCACAGGAGTTGGGTAACGTAATTTCTATTGTTAATAAATCTAAAACCATAATATTTATATAATTCTCGCGGAAGAAAAATTCGCTGGCAAAGGGATGCAACTCGTATCTACAAACGTGGTCAATTCAGCCGACGACCATTGAATAAGCTTTATATTTGATAAGGCATTCTGGAGTAAAAAATGAAAAATGATAAATAACCCGGAATTTCAGATTTATATAACGTATCTACTTCCGGGATTTTATATAATATCCCCGGAGCAATGAATGAAAGGGCGAGGATAACCTCACTACTGGATTAAACGACGTGTCAATATGAGATATAAAATCCCACCAGAACAATATGATGACGTCACTAAAGTTTTATAATTATAACGATATTCCTTACTATTATATGCTATGAAATTAGGTACCATACACCAAAACAACAACCTCAGTAAGTATATAGATTTTATTAAATTTATTTAAATATATTATGAAATATAGTTGATAAAATTATAAAAAAATACTTTTTATGGAGTTTTACTCTGAAGTTTCACAAGCGGTTACGGTCGCTTAACAGAGGTCATTAACATAATTATGATTCGCCTGCACTTCAGATCAGAGGGTTCCAGAGTCCACCGCCAATGAAAGGACACAGTGGTTGCTAGGATCTCAGAAAAGGGAGAATTTGACTTTTTGGACAGTGGCTCAACTGCCACAGGGACTGGTTGAACCAAGTCCACCAACAAATTGTACCAAAGTAGGCCTAAGTATCCGGAAGGTTAACTTGCACTTTAAAATGGTTCATAACTTATACCAAGAGAAATATTCTGTCCTTATTACAGAAAATGAGGGTCGCAGAATGCAGGAGAGGATATGTCAAAAAAATATATTTGAGCCACTGGTCTTAGATGAATCAGATACCTCATTTAGGATTTTGCACCGGAGCGGCACCGGTTAACAGAAAGGATCAAAATACCTCCAAACTTTATTATAATGCACACAAAAAATGGAAAAGAAAAAAGAGCAAAAGAGAAAACGAACAGACTTATGCTAAAAAACGAATAATTAAAAATAATAAAAAAAAAAACGAAACAAAACAATCATTTCTAAAGTATTTTAGAGGAATTTTTCGTTGTTTGATATCCAAAACGATATTTGTATTTCTACAGACAATCTAAAATATAGAATTCTAATTTTCATGATTCCGAAATACGAGGTAAAACAGAATTTTTGTCAGAAACATAATTATGTCGTCATATAGTTGTCTAAATCTTAATATCATTATACGACCAATATTTGAATTATCTGGTAGCCTGAATTCATTTTACTTAATATTTCGACAATTATGCTCGCCATCACGTGAAGAGTGTCTCCCCTAGATTTTAAAATTAAATGAAGCCTATGGGCGCAGATCACAGGGGGGACAGGGGGACACCCACAGAAAAACAGATGGGACATGATATCCTGTGAAACCTTACCGAACTATCTTAATTTAAGACAATCCGGGCACAGATTTCATTTTTTTTTAAACAAATATTGTATGTCATACAATATTTATTGAACAAAATTGAAATCTGTGCCCGAATTGCCTTTTTTTGGTTGTGTAAAAAAAAGTTCTAAACTCTACTTTCGGGCTGCGATTTCAATTTTTGAAATATGTAAAATATAATCATACGAATGACATTCGGGCAGTGATTTCGATCCTTAAATAATATGAATTATGAAATATTATCATAGGAGAATACAATCGGGCTATCAATTTAAAAGAAATACAGTTATAGTATAGGATATTCGTGCAAAGATATGATTTCATTTTTAAATTCCAAAAAAAAAAAAAAAAAATCGGGCCGTTGAAAAAAATTTTTTTAATGCCTTGCCCGAAAAACTAGTCTCGGGGCTGCGAGGGAGCCGAATTGAGAAAGCGATCTGCGCCCCTGATGTAGCCCATGAGGTTAGTGAGGATAGTTCAAGCAAAGCATTGATTATATTCAAGAATTCTTCAAGATAAAACGAACAGTCCAATTAGTTCGGAATTAAAAAAATATATCATGCAAAATAAAACTTGTAAATTTCCGTCAGCAGCATTATGTGGTGTACCATTCCCCGGAGCTCTTAGCCATTTTAATCTCCCTTGCCAATTGGCACGTGACACACAAATTACAACAGGCCACAGCACAGATATCTTTACAAACCGAGCCCTGAAAAACATTCGTTTAATACTCATGAAAACATTATATTAGCGATTTAAAGCCTCTGAAACCCTCCCAAGATGTGCGGACTCCTTGAAAGAGGTGCCAAGTTGACAAACCTTATTATCCATAAACAATATTAGCTTGGTAAGCTCTCTGAAGGGATGTCGTTTTGACGAACCTAAGTTCTGAATTAAAGATGGGTTTCCTTATTTTTTTATGTCAAATTAAGCAAAAGATTTGATTGGTGTTTCTAATGCATTACCATGTATTCTTAATCATATTATTATGTTCTTATTGCATATAATTAAGAGTTTTAACCAATCAGAAATATCAATGTATGTACAGTCTGGATAAACAAAAAAAGAATTTTTGACCTTTCTTGATCGGTCACTCATTGGAATTCTGCTGGTAATTCTCTTCTAATTTAGCTAATTATGAATTAATTATGGACATGTGAGACAAACTGGTATTTTTCCATGTCATAAGAACACTTCTACTCTCTATTCATATAAGTATTAGCATTTTCATTTTCATAAATAAAAATAAGGGAATCCATCTTTAAGATTATTAGATATTTGGAGTCTATGAAAGGGGTTCAGTCTTTTTCCCTGGCAGTTCCTTGCGTGAAAACTTACACTGATTCCGAGTTTACCACGAATATAGGACCTCAACGGCACCATCCAACCTTGGCAACAACATGCCAAACAGCACGTCTCTTCAGCCTGTGTGGCCAGGTAGCAACCATAGCACGGTCCACAGAAAAATACGGCCAAACCTGAAACATGTTATTAAAAATATTTAGATTTTATGATATACTCGAGTCACGTCATACTGAGTAATACGCATCACACCATGCTGAATAATACGTCACGCCATACTGAATAATACGTCACGCCATACTGAATAATACGTCACGCAATACTGTGTAAAAGTCCTCACGCTATAATAACACTGGGTTATACGCATCACACCATAATGTGTAAGACCCGTGGGGCCATATTGTGTAATACGCATCATACCATAATGCATCGCGCCATATTGAAAAATTTCGTCACACTGCGAAGCGCCACTCTTCCATCCTCTTGGTCATGCAATACTGATGAAAGCGTTTTCCTCAATCTCTGAAAAGCTATAACGATGCACCATATTGGCTACGCATCACACCTTATTTCAGGCAATAAGACTGTATCTATGTTATACTTACATACGCCCATGTCATCACAGCAAGCAAGCTTATCCGTCCTCCATTCTCTACGTGGTTTAACTTGAACTCCAGGCTGGTTGATGATAACAGTATGATGAGCTGTCTGTTGCTGCGGTGGTTGGTTGTATTGTGGTTGATAGTTAGGATCCGTCTGAAATGAATATTTGTAAATAAATATAATGATACCACTCTTCATTATGATATACTTCCTCGTGGGTAGCTTTTATTAGCTGCTACCAATATTTTGCAAATATGTTATTTTGGATTTCGGGTTTAGTTTCGCAGTGCGAATCGTTAGTACTTGGTTTATTTATTAAGTTAATTTTGAATTTCCGTTTATATCAATGGAGTAAACCGTGACTTATTAATTTTTTGAAGATAGTCTGATTTTCAAAATATATCCTAATATTTTTGTCATATATCAAAGTTGGAAAACGAAAAAGAGCAGGCTATTGACGCTGTCCTGGCAAAATTTTCCTCATTACACCCTGCATGGCGTTGCCTGTCTTCATTAGCCCACATGGTGCAGAAAAGTAGAGCGTAAAACTCCATTCATTTCATTTTCATTTACCCTGTAAATTGGCGCACAATGCCCTTTAAATCTTCGTATATATTCACCTCGAATATCAAGTGACATATTTCAATATATAGATATTAATTTAACCTTCAATTTAACCTAACATGTACGTAAGACCTTTTTGAAAATATTTGAGGTTTTAGATAACTGCATAACTACGATGGTTCATGTAGGCATGTTTAGGTCTATAATCAATAAGCGGCCTTATACTGTACATGAACATCCCAATGTAGACCCTAAAAAAAGAAGTCAGTTTTACCGATGACGTCATAACATTGTAATATAGGCAAATTCCGACTTTTGGATTCCAGGAAATACAGAAATTCTAAGAAAATCATAATTGTTTATTATATATAATATATCTTTATTTTTTATAATAATTAATTTTGCAATATATATTTTTTTTTATTTTTTATAATAATTAATTTTGCAATATATTTTTATTTTTTATAATAATTAATTTTGCAATATATATTTTTTTTTATTTTTTATAATAATTAATTTTGCAATATATTTTTTTTTATTTTTTATAATAATTAATTTGGCAATAAATATATATATATTTTTTTTTTATGATTTTGCAATATATTTTTATTTTTTATAATAATTAATTTGGCAATAAATATATATATATTTTTTTTTTATGATAATTAATTTTATATTTTTAATTTTTTTAAATTTTTTATTTTTTACAATAATTAATTTTGCAATATATTTTTTTTTATTTTTTACAAAGTATGGCGTTATGTGAGTTGTCTTAGATGGTGTAGATTGGAAGGGCGTGGAAAATGATAAAAATTGTATAAAAGAACATAGCTCGTTTTCATTTCATAAGCAAAAATTTAGATCAAACCAGGTAAAACGTACCGTTTATAATTATTTCATTACATTAACCCAATTTAGGAGCAAATAAATAGAACGCAGCTGGTATTCATTTCATACTAATTTAGGAGCAAATAAATAGAACGCAGCTCGTTTTCATTTCATACCAATTTAGGAGCAAATAAATAGAACGCAGCTGGTTTTCATTTCATACTAATTTAGGAGCAAATAAATAGAACGCAGCTCTATTTCATTTCATAACAATTTAGGAGCAAATAAATAGAACGCAGCTGGTTTTCATTTCATACTAATTTAGGAGCAAATAAATAGAACGCAGCTCTATTTCATTTCATACTAATTTAGGAGCAAATAAATAGAACGCAGCTCGTTTTCATTTCATACCAATTTGGGAGCAAATAAATAGAACGCAGCTCGTTTTCATTTCATACCAATTTGGGAGCAAATAAATAGAACGGAGCTCGTTTTCATTTCATACCAATTTGGGAGCAAATAAATAGAACGGAGCTCGTTTTCATTTCATACCACTTTAGGAGCAAATAAATAGAACGTAGTTGGTTTTCATTTCATACCAATTTAGGAGCAAATAAATAGAACGCAGCTCGTTTTCATTTCATACCAATTTAGGAGCAAATAAATAGAACGTAGTTGGTTTTCATTTCATACTAATTTAGGAGCAAATAAATAGAACGGAGTTGGTTTTCATTTCATGCCAATTTAGGAGCAAATAAATAGAACGGAGCTCGTTTTCATTTCATACCAATTTAGGAGCAAATAAATAGAACGCAGCTCGTTTTCATTCCATACCAATTTGGGAGCAAATAAATAGAACGCAGCTCGTTTTCATTTCATACTTATTTAGGAGCAAATAAATAGAACGCAGCTCGTTTTCATTCCATACCAATTTAGGAGCAAATAAATAGAACGGAGCTCGTTTTCATTTCATACTAATTTAGGAGAAAATAAATAGAACGTAGTTGGTTTTCATTTCATACCAATTTAGGAGCAAATAAATAGAACGCAGCTCGTTTTCATTCCATACCAATTTAGGAGAAAATAAATAGAATGGAGCTCGTTTTCATTTCACACCAATTTAGGAGCAAATAAATAGAACGCAGCTCGTTTTCATTCCATACCAATTTAGGAGCAAATAAATAGAACGCAGCTCGTTTTCATTCCATACCAATTTAGGAGCAAATAAATAGAACGCAGCTCGTTTTCATTTCATACCAATTTAGGAGCAAATAAATAGAACGGAGCTCGTTTTCATTCCATACTAATTTAGGAGAAAATAAATAGAATGGAGCATGTTTTCATTTCATACTAATTTAGGAGCAAATAAATAGAATGGAGCTCGTTTTCATTTCATACCAATTTAGGAGAAAATAAATAGAATGGAGCTCGTTTTCATTCCATACCAATTTAGGAGCAAATAAATAGAATGGAGCTCGTTTTCATTCCATACCAATTTAGGAGAAAATAAATAGAATGGAGCTCGTTTTCATTTCATACTAATTTAGGAGCAAATAAATAGAACGGAGCTCGTTTTCATTTCATACCAATTTAGGAGCAAATAAATAGAACGCAGCTCGTTTTCATTTCATAAAAGGGCGTAGCGATATTTTCATTTCATTATTTCATTACCCAAAAGGGGAAGTTAACTTATTAGGAACAAACTAAGTAAAACGTTGCTAAAACACACTTAATTAATCTTAATTGATAAGAAACTAAGTAGAACGTAGCCCCATTTCATTTCATTAACACAAATTGTAAACTAAGACGAACATAGCTCCATTTTATTTCATTAACACAAAAATTAGAAGCAAAAAATTCAAGTTACTAGCTTGAAAATTCAAGATACTAACTTGAAAATTCAAGATACTAACTTGAAAATTCAAGATACTAACTTGAAAATTCAAGATACTAACTTGAAAATTCCAGATACTAACTTGAAAATTCAAGATACTAACTTGAAAATTCAAGATACTAACTTGAAAATTCAAGATACTAACTTGAAAATTCAACATACTAGCTTGAAAATTATTGAAAATTCAACATACTAGCTGGAAAATTCAAGTTACTAACTGGAAAATTCAAGTGACTAACTGGAAGATTCAAGTTACTAAATTGAACATACTAACTGGAAAATTCAACATACTAACTTGAAAATTCAACATACTAGCTTGAAAATTCAACATTCTAGCTTGAAAATTCAACATACTATAGCTTGTAAATTAAAATACTAGCTTGAAAATTCAAGATACCAACTTGAAAATTCAAGTTACTAACTTGAAAATTCAACATACTAACTTGAAAATTCAAAAAAAAAATGAATGGCCCTAATACGCTTCCGTAGTATTTCCCCTATCCCGTCATTGAAAATATAGTTGTAAAAATATTTTTTTTTGAACCTGATGCATGAAATTAGACATCTCTCCTGTATTGGGCTAACTCCTTTTGAACCCCGTCGTGGGGTGTGTCCTCGGTAACAGTGTTGAAATCACGTTATAGTCTTATTATATTGACAACTTATTTTATTTCGCTGTACTTATGGTTTCGGTCTAATAAAAGAGTAAAGACGACCGTCAAAATGGGCAAAGAACGTTGAATAATTATTGCTGTAAAAAGGCTTCGAAATATAATCTTATTGACCTTGGTAGATCGTCTTGTATCAAAACCCTCTAGAGCTAATATATAATTTATGCCAAACTTATATTTTTAACTGGGAACCGCGGTGGCTCATTGGGTTAGACGCTTGCTCGCCAACCTGAAGGTCCAGGTTAATGTATAAAAAGGGTGCTCAGTGTTGTCAGAATTTGAGAGCAAATGGATATTCAACAACAGCTAGCAACTGGTTGCCTTTGGAAGATTTTGATCGATCGCTGGATTTAGTCAAGTGCTCCGATTTAATAAATACCTCAGTTCCATCGATTTGCTCTTATATAACATACGACCACCGACAAGCAGCAGCCAGTCGCCTTCAGTAAGCGGCCAATCAAGTATTCTCCTGACTGCTTGCTTAGTACTGTACATTTGCGCAAAAAATTGAAGCCGTCGACTTCAGCCGCTAGAATCTTCAAAAACCCATTCGATCGCAGTGGATATAAGTGGTTTTTTTTTTTGTTATAAATAAGCTCCGCGACGGTTCCAATGGGATGCGTATATCGCCAGTCTATCAGAGTTCACCGTTAGCTTCGTCACGGAAGGGACACCAAAACAAGACAATAAATGTATCTAAATTCATCAATCCATATAATATTATGACCGAGAAATGGACAACCTCATCTAAAAATAGCCAACCCGATCCACACCCCCTTCCCCCCCCCCCCCCCTTCCCTCTCCATATTTTGTAATAAATATAAGTTTGAAATAAAATAAAAAATAAAAATAAGTAACCTGATTGGACATGGCTCCTTTTTACGTTGAATCCCTTAAACACTGCCTTCTTCTTTTTCTTTCCAAAAACTTTATAGCTCCTGTGGAATGTCGACGTGCTGCTGAAGTCTCAACTTGCCATAATGTTAATGTAATGAAAATTCGAGTAAATTTACTACATAACCCGCCAAAAATTCATTGATTACTTCATCAAGTGTAATGTGTGTAATATATTTTTGCGTGATTGGTTCCCGGGACTTTGGTTTGTTTGCTGTTTGTTGTGTCAGTTTCTATGGTTCTATATTTATACAATGGAGTGTTTGAAAAATTTTCACTTCATGCTTATTGGAATGGTATGGAATGAAAACTGTGAAAAAGTTGTGAAAAAGCCATACGATTTGAACGACATTTAGAAGTAGAGAGAAGATATAACAAAAAACACAAGTGGTATATTATGGTATAACTCACTTCTTTAATAACAAAGCACATTATGTGCAATAATGCATAATATACATACATACATAATATAATAACATTATGTTATATATGTTTTTTGTTATAAACGTACAGCCAGTTGGGGCTTGCTAGCTCATCTTGGGTTCGATCTGTGCATAGATCAAAATAGTAACTAGTTGACTTTTCATCCATACCAGCCCCCTATGCATGATTTGGAAAGGGTTTTCCTGGCCACAAGGCGTTGTCTTTGTAAGGTCAATCAGCACCAACAAATGATATTCTGAATTTCATTTCATTCAAGTTGTATGTCCAACTGTTTTCTTTCTTATTGTGCTATCGAAATGAAATAGAATTGTATGTTCCACTGTTCTGTACATTATCCGTCTGATGAAATGAAATAGAATTTTATGTCCTACTGTTCAGTACCTTCTTGTGTCAATGAAACGGAACGGAGTTTCATGTCCTACGTTCCTGTACCTTATTGTACTCTCGAAATGAAATAGAATTGTACGTTCCACTGTTCTGTACCTTATCCGCCTGATGAAATGAAATGGAATTTTATGTCCTACTGTTCAATACCAATACCAAATGGAATGGCGTTCATGTCCTACGTTCTTGTACCTTATTGTGCTATCGAAAAGAAATAGAATTGTACATGTACATTATCACGTCTGATGAAATGAAATGGACTTATATCTTCTACTGTTCAGTTCTTCGTTGGACTAATGAAATGAAATCTATAATTTTACGTTCTACCAACCAGTACATGTTGTGCTGATGAAATGCAACGGAGATTTACGTTTTTAAACTATTCTAAGCGAAATACACAAAAGAAGGGGTCCCGCTGACGGTTACGTCTCCGTTTCAGAGGTCTTAACTTAAAAAAAAGTCTCGATAAGTGTTTATTGACCGAATCGGAGTTTAAAGAATCCAGCCAGCCTCTTGAGATTATATTATGAATTGTTGTATATTGTTTTGAGATGAATATTTGATAGCCGTTGCGATAACAATCGGGTGTTGCCAAGCCTTATAAATCAATATATTATGAAATATTCTCTTTGTTGAACTTGAATGTCATAGAACTTTTTGAACTAGCCTCATCATCTGCATTTTCAGAGTTTTTGGTTTTGGTTCGTCTGCAATTAAAATGGAATGAAATAAATGGAGTTTTACGTCCTACTTTTCTGTACCATGTGGGCTAATGAAGACGGGCAACGCCATGCAGGGTGCGATGACGGACAATGGCCTTAGCCTGCTCTTTTTCGATTTCCAACTGTCGAGGGATCTTTAACGTGCACAGCCTGTAGCACACGGGGCCTTGGTTTATTGTCCCATCCGAACGACTAGACGTTTTTTCCATATCAGCCCCTCTTACCTGCATCACTGACAGGGGGAAACCGGGTTGAAATCGTCTGCAATTAAAGAAATAGCCATCGAGCTGGAGTGACGACAAGCTACCGTGTTTTTATTTTCAATCAGCATGTGTATGTAACTAACAGTTTGTCGTCATATGTTTACTTATTTGACGCTTTGCTTTTCAGATTTTCGTTTTGAAATTGTGGTACAGGTAGCTTGGATTGTGCTCATTCGTCGTCACAGTTCTCAAATTTCATTATCTCCATAACGCACTATCTGAATTTTGAATACATGCCAAATATCAAACCCAAAACAAACATGCACGGGGACAAGTGGCTTGAAATCAATTAAGGCAATTACAAATATATCATAATCAGCGTGTACTAGGTTAACTCGTGTTAAGCAATACTTTCAAGGGATTTGGTCATCCAATGATTTGTAATAGTGCTAGAATTGGCCTAGTCATTTCCTGATAGAGATTATTAAGATGTGTAGTTACAGCCGTAACATTTTCAGAGTGAACACCTGAATTCTGGTTTATCAATTGGTAAATGATGCGATTTAGATGACTGTATCTTTACGGGGCTCTATCAACTGATTTAGATGACCTTTAAGCTCAATCAACTGTTAAATCAAACCATTAAGATCACTCTGAGCTCTGTCAACTGGTAAATCGAACTATTAAAATGGCTTTATCACTCTGAGCTCTGTCAACTGGTAAATTGAACTATTACAATGGCTTTATCACTCTGAGCTCTGTCAACTGGTAAATCGAACTATTACAATGGCTTTATCACTCTCGGCTCAATCAACTAGTAAATCGAACCATTAAGATGACTCTATCACTCTGAGCTCTGTCAACTGGTAAATCGAACTATTAAAATGGCTTTATCACTCTCGGCTCAATCAACTAGTAAATCGAACCATTAAGATGACTCTATCACTCTGAGCTCTGTCATCTTTTAAATCGAACCATTAAAATGGCTCTATCACTCTGAGCTCTGTCAACTGGTAAATCGAACCATTAAGATGACTCTATCACTCTGAGCTCTGTCAACTGGTAAATCGAACCATTAAGATGACTCTATCACTCTGAGCTCTGTCAACTGGTAAATCGAACCATTAAAATGGCTCTATCACTCTCGGCTCAATCAAGTAGTAAATCGAACCATTAAGATTACTCTATCACGTTGAGCTCTGTCAACTGGCAAATCGAACCATTAAGATGACTCTGTCACTTTGAGCTCTGTCAACTGGTAAATCGAACCATTAAGATGACTCTATCACTCTGAGCTCTATCAAGTGGCAAATCAAACCATTAAGATGACTCTATCACTCTGGGCTGAATCAACTGGTAAATCGAACCATTAAGATGACTCTATCACTTTGAGCTCTGTCAACTGGTAAATCGAACCATTAAGATGACTCTATCACTCTGAGCTCTATCAAGTGGTAAATCAAACCATCAAGATGACTCCATCACTCTGAGCTCTATTAACTGGTAAATCGAATGATTTAGATGAACTTTGAGCTCAATCAACTGGTAATTCGAACCATTAAGATGACTCTATCACTCTGAGCTCTATCAAGTGGTAAATCAAACCATCAAGATGACTCCATCACTCTGAGCTCTATCAACTGGTAAATCGAATGATTTAGATGAACTTTGAGCTCAATCAACTGGTAATTCGAACCATTAAGATGACTCTATCACTCTGAGCTCTATCAAGTGGTAAATCAAACCATTAAGATGACTCTATCACTCTGAGCTCTATCAACTGGTAAATCGAATGATTTAGATGACCTTTAAGCTCAATCAAGTGGTAAGTCGAACCATTAAGATGACTCTATCACTCTGAGCTCTATCAACAGGTCA